CTGGATAGGAGCTGCACAAAGTCTCTGTTTTAATTCTTCAAAAGCCCACTGCTCTCGGGTTCCCTATTGGACCAGTTTACGGGCTCTTTTGCGGGTGAGGTCCGTGGTCAGGAGGACACCTTTGTAACATTATCCCCCACGGGTCGAATTTCTCCTCTACCTACCACAAAGCCTAGATATGGCATCTGTGCTTGTGCCAACTTACATTTCCGTGGGTTCACTGTCAGCCCAACTTAACTCCTCCAATACTGCCTTCAAATGACCCAAATATTCTTCCCAGGACTGGCTAAAGATAATTATATCATCTATGTATGTGGCCGCAAAGTCTTGCACCAGGGACACCTGATCCATTAAGTCACTGGAAGGTGGCCACTGCCCCGTGTAAATCAAAGGGCATGTATATGAACTGGTATAGCCCTATTGTGGTGGTGAAAGCTATCTTTTACTTGTCTGCATCCCGGAGGGGTATCTGCCAATATGCCTTGGTGAGATCGAGAGAGAAAAGACAAGTGGCCCTCCCTAACCTCTCTATCAGCTCATCCACCTGGGGCATGGGGTAGGCATCAAATTTTGACATCATGTTTACTTGCTGGAAATCCACACAGAACTGGATGCTGGCATCGGGCTTAGGAACAAGGACTGGGTGGCTACGCCAAGGGCTGTTGGAGGGCTCAATTACTCTCATATCCAACATGGAGTTAACCTCGTCAATAATTACTTGTCTTAGATATTGTGGCCAAGTCCGAGCAGCTGAGCACACCATCACCCCTGGGTCAGTCTCAGTATGGTGTTCCACCAAGTTGGTATGTCCTGGCCTGTGAGATAGAACATTGGGGAACTCTTGTTCGAGGGCTCTTAACTGTTGCTGCTTCTGAGGACTTAATACCTCTGCCAAGTCCCACCTGTCCTCCAGTGAAGCGGAAAATGTTTTAGTCCCAGTTCAGGGTCAATGGAACAGACAGTAAATCTGAAAAAAGTGATAAATAATGGAAGGGGATGAGTTGACATGAGATGGCTTGAATCAAAGAAAGCCAGACCCTGTTGTTTGCAAAGCCTGAACTCAGTAGTTCAGGTATCTGCTGAGGAGTCAGAGGTTGGGAGTCAGATTCCCCACTGCCTCTTTGTGAGTAGAGACAGCCTGCATGGCCTTGGGCAAACTGCACAGCCCCACATCACCCCTGAAGAAGGGTATGGTAAACCACTTCTGAGTACTCTCTACTTGGAAAACCCTGAAAGTGTTGTCATAACTCAGAACTGACTTGACAGCAGGTTGTTGTTGTTAGTAGCAAACTCAATTAAGCCAAAAGTTGGAGATCCGGAGTAGTTCTTGCATTGTAAATAAGGATACTGAGGGAAAGATTCATTGACATTTTCAGTGTAGTAGCTAAGGTTTGCTCAGTACAGCGTGAACTGCACTTTGCTAATAAATGTTGTAGAAAGGATTACTCCAAGAGCACCAACTATCTCCTTGATTTATTCTGTTTCTCTCAGTCAGGGGTAGATGATATTGTCCTCCAAATGTTTTTACATCATAATTCCCTTAATCCCTTACCACTGGGTTATGCCAGCTAGGACTGATAGAAGTCGAAGGCCCAGAATATCTGGAGCACAGTTGCTCTGCCCCTGCTGTAAGTCACCTTTCCACATTTTGACGTCCTCCAGATATTGGACTACATTTCCAATCATCCCCACTTGGCATGACCAAAGGGGATGATTGAAGTTGTGGCATAGGTCATCTAGACACAGGATGCTTAAGCAAGTGGTCTCAATTGCATTGAAAGTTGGTGTTAATTTTATCTTCTGAGTCACATTTTCCGAAATGTTGAAACCATTTTTAAGATAGAAACCATGGATTTTCTTCTGTTTACAGTAGTGGTGCAGAGGTCACGGGTCCTTACTGAACCTTTGGAGGCAAAATTGTGGGAGTTCTTTTTAAAAATGTAAGTTTCTGGTCTTCATGATTAGCAAATGGAAATCAACTGTACCTTTCTTGACTCACATCTCCTCCCACCCTCTTTTCACCATTTACAATGTGGCATTTATTGATCTAATTTGAAATTACTAATTCCTGTATTGCAATGGCAAGAGAGACTGTAGCCTCAGTGTTTACATTCATCCTCCAGTTGTTGCCCAAAGCTTGATGCCAAATGGAAGAACATATGGAATATTGTGAGAACTCTATAGATAATTTTCCTAATGTTGAAATGTGGGGAAGAAGGATTCACTTTTATAGCATGATATGAATAGATAAAACGTAGTTACAATAAAATGCATGAATCGCTTATGACCTCACTGCTTTGCCCTAGAAGAATTGTTGTTTATGGTCCTCGAATCAATAACAGACATTGTTGTCTTGCCACTGCGATCTCCGCGTTAGAACAAAAAAGAGCCAGTGAACAAAGCTTTGGAAAATCTCCAAATGAACCCACGTGGCTTATGATCTGCTAAATCGGACCGTGCCCAACTACATTTTCATTGATTGCCAGTCCTTCTTGTTTATTTAATTTTGCAGTTCTAAATAATAAGTGAAGCTGGGAAGTTTCTCAGGCCTCTGGAAAATGGCTCAGACATTTCAGGCTTGGATGGTCAAATGAATATAGAGCTTGGGAATTTCTTCTGTTTTAAAATGGTTAATCTCAGAATTCCCCCAGAACCCACCATTCAGTATTGTTATCAAGGAAGGAGTCTGGGAGCTGTAGTTTCTTTCTTTCTTTTTAAAGAAAAAAAATCTAAAACTTTGGGATGTTCTGTTACTGTATATGATAATAAGATCCATCTGTGTCCTTCTTCTTTTTAAATAGACCAGTTGTTCTTGGACTTGGGAGGAAAAAAAATGAACAAAGATGCACAAATGAGAGCCACTATTAACCAAAAGCTAATTGAAACAGGAGAACGAGAACGGTAGGTCGATTTTCATTCCCATTGCATCTTCAGGGATATATCAAGGCTGTATGGCCCTTTAGAGACTGTTGCATTCCACTTCTCAATCTGCCTATGCCAGCTCAGTCTGTTGGTGCCATTGTAGCGAGAGAGCAGTAGCAGTGGTGCTACCCCCATTAACATTTCCAGATTTCATTTTCAGATTTCTACTTGCTGTTTGTTCCTGTGAATTCCACACTCCAGGGTTGTTGTTAGGATGGGGCAGGAAGGAAAAAAGGTACATATGCCACATTGAGCTCATTGGAGAAAAGTGGGATAGAAATGTAACAGATAAATTATTGATCATTTCCATAGTTCTACGGAGTTTTGGAAAACAGAAAAGAATACCAGGTCCTGTGTCAACTTTCCCTGGCAGGCTGTGTTAATTGATACTGTTTTCTTCTCCTAAAAAATTGGTGCGTCTTATGGAAAGGTGCATCTTATGGAACGAAAAATACGGTACATATGCCACATTGAGCTCATTGGAGGAAAGTGGGATAGAAATGTAACAGGTAAATTATTGATCATTTCCGTAGTTCTACCGGAGTTTTGGAAAACAGAAAAGAATACCAGGTCCTGTTTCAACTTTCCCTGGCAGGCTGTGTTAATTGATGGGTTTTTCCTTCCTCTCCTTTGTATGCCACAGCTCTAATCCTGCATCTCTTTACAGCCTCAAAGAACTCCTCCGAGCCAAATTAATTGAATGTGGGTGGAAAGACCAGTTGAAAGCACACTGTAAAGGTAATTCTCAGCTGATCTCATTCTCAGCTGCACTAGCAAAGTGTGGTATTCAATCCAGGGCTTGTGGGGAATAAATAGCTGGATATTTGTATTTTTTTAAAATACTGCCAGGGGACAAATTGATTGTGTGTTTTACTGTCCACACTCCCAGTACTAATGATTGTTCATTAAATGTATGTTGCTTATTAAGTTTGACATGTTTTTCAACCAGATGTGTTGCTTTAGTAATTTTAAGTCATGCAGTCCAAATAGGTTCCAGAGGATTTGGGGGGGGGCAGGGCACATCCCTTGAAGAGCTGCTTCAGTCCCATTTTTACTTTTAGTCAAAAGGCCTTTAGTCAAAATACCTCTGTAGAGTGAGTGACTTTGCCACATTCCCTCTCTCTAAACTGTAAACCCGTCAGAATAGCCTTCCATAATCCCAGAGGGTGGGAGGGAATTTTTATGTGTGTGCTACATAGTCCTGTAATTGCAATGTGCTGCAATACCGTAGCCTGTTTTGTATATGGGAGAAAGGAACTTGTGGCCTTCTAGCTATTGATAGTCTCCCAACACTTGTCAGCCCTGACTATGGGCCATGCTGGGCCAGGATTGGTTGGGAGATATGGAGGCCTCAGAGTCATTTGTCCCAACCTTGTGGAGCTATACGATTCTGAATAGGCTTATTGATGTTCAGTTCATTCTGACCATTTAAACACTGAGTGGGACTGTCTTGGTTTTGCTTAGATGTCATCAAAGAGAAGGGACTAGAGCATGTCACTGTTGATGACTTGGTGGCAGAAATCACCCCGAAAGGCAGAGGTAAGACAAGTAACATTGCTTTCATTCATGTACTTAAAGCATTGAATTGAATTGAATTTATTTATTGCGGTTGGGTGACCAGCTCATAAAACATATTTGTGGCTAAAATATACAAAATGCAGTTTAAAAATGTACAACTAGTTAATAAAACATATTATATGGTTAAAATATACAAAATGCAATTTAAAAAGCGTACAACAGATAATTGTGTACTGGCTGTAAAATATGGGGGGAATCAAATACAGCATTTTTATAGCTATCCTTTGATCCTTTGGATCGTCTAGGGCAGAGGTCCCTAGTCCGTGGCCCGGTGCTGATCCATGGCCTGAGCTGGACTGGGCCGCAGAGACAGACCTCCTCCCCACCCCTGCATGCACTCCCCCTGCACAGCCCATTTGCTCCTGCGCGCATGTGCCTATGCCCACCTGAGCACTCCCCCACCCCTTCGCACATGCGCACAAGTTCCCCGTGAGCACTGCACTGCCCTTTGTGCATGCACACAAGTGTGCGCGCACCTGCGCAAGTAGGCAAGTGCTCATGCGCACAAGCACACGGGGGTGCCCCACCTTCCCCAGCCAGTCCGCGGGGCTAAAGACAAGTAACATTGGGGCTAGTCTAGGGCATTCATCTGTTTTTATATTTTGATACTACATTTATATTGTGCCAGAACTTGGAAAAGCTACCCTTTTAGATCAATATTCTCAGAAATTATGAAAAAAACTAACTTTTCCAAATTCTGAGCCCAGGTATCATGGCCTCTCAGGAATTCTGGGAGATGTAGTAGGAAAAAAACTACAGATTTGCACACCTGAATATGTTTTTATATCTAAAAGGATGCACATGGTTTGATTACTATAAGCTTCAGTTTAGAAAAGTTCATTTATAGACTGTTTTTTGGTTGGTTGGGGGATCGTGGGCAGAATAGTCCAAGTAGGTAATTTCTCTAAGCTGTGCTATAACTGCCTACTTCTAGTGCTCTTAAAAGTGCCTTCCTTTGTCAGGTAAGCATAAGTGAAGCAGTGTCTGAATTCAAAAGGATGCAATCCAGAATCAATTATTTTTCAACAAGTTTCATTGTTATTCACTATATAATCCAATTATATGTTTGTGTGTATACACAGACACATAAAATGTGTGTGTGTTGCATTGGAATTAGAACCCATGGGTATCACTTCTCACATGTTATTCCCATCCTGCCACCCCTTGCCTTTTTATATTTCAGCCTTGGTACCTGACAGTGTGAAGAAAGAACTTCTACAAAGAATAAGAACATTTCTTGCCCAACACGCCAGCCTTTGATTCTGCTATTTGAGTTGTACCATGTTGTGTTAAGTGAATAATGCCAGAAACTGGAAGACATATTTCCATGCTTTTGGGTGAAAGTTCACTTTTTTTAACGTTTAGTTACTGGACGTGTACCTTGTTACATTGACTTCTTAATGTTGGTATTTTAATAAAAAAAAGAAGAGGAAGAAGAAGAACCGAACGACCTATGGGTGTGCATTGGAAACAGTATTCCTTGCCATTAAAAGGATGTTGCATGGTTTAATGTGATTGGTGTGTGTTAGTATGTTTTTCTTTGGTCTAAAATGACATTTTAGGTATTTCACGGTGTACCAGGAGAAAGTGTAATACAAGAACATACACTAGATAAAGTATTTGGTCTTAACTGCAGGATATGACAGCAGTAGTAGGAGACTCTTGGCTTGAAAAATCATTTCAGAAGTCAGATCTCACTGCCTCTGCTACTCCTGGTTTATAGTTTTAAAGCCTTAAAAAAGGACAAGAAAAAAAAGTGGGGGCAAAACAAGGAAAAAGGTTATGTGTGGCTTATTGTTTCCCTTTTTCATATTGTGATTTAGTTGTGAACCATGAAAAAGTAATCAAATTAAGTTTGCAATTCTGTTTCCTTCTGTTCCAATACAATGTTTTTATTGTTAAGATACTTGTTATTCTGTGTCATCAAATTGCCTCTGGCTTATGACGACACCATGAAACTCCAAAAGGTCTTGTCCTCACTCTAGCCCTCAGCTCACCTCTTGTAAAGGCAAGACTGTGACTTCCTTAATGGAGTCAATCTATTTCAAAATTGGTCTTCCTCTTTTCTTGCTGCCTTTAGCTTTTCACTGTAAATGTTCCCTTGAGTTCTGTGGGGGTTTAATACTGAGTACAGATGCTTAGGATTTTACCAAATTTGAATATTGTATAGAACTAGATTCCATTTAAATCAGTGAGCCCTTCTCCAGTCACCTGATCTAGGCTGTTGTGCACTAAGAAGAGAATGTCTTCCATCTTTGAGGGTGATATTGCAACCCCTTTGTGAACCTGAAGGCGGTCACATAGTGCTTTCAATTTCAAATCATGTTAAGGAAGCTTTAGGCCTTGGCTGGTATTTGTTAGCTGAATTTTACAATAACTTCTGTTCTGCATTTGTTTGGCACAACCTTCTATTGGCATCTTTTTGAAATAAGACCAGTTGAATTCATTTTCAGGTTTGAACATTGCATTTTGTTTCCCTTCTCCTCTCTGCTATTCGTAAGGTCGCGTTGTACAGCCACTTTGCTTTCTTGCATTTCCTTTTCTTTGGGATGTTTTTTGTTGCTGCCTCCTGTACACTGTTACGAGCCTCCATCCCTAGTTCTTCAGGCACTCTGTCCACCAAATCTAGTTCCTTAAATCTGTTCTTCACTTCCACTGTGTATTCATAAGGGATTTGGTTTACATTATACCTTTTTAGTCTTTATTTATTTATTTTATTTATTATTGGATTTTTATCCCGCCCTTCTAGACAAGTCTACTCAAGTCCAGGGGTTTTTCCTAATTTCTTCAGTTTAAGCTTGAGTTTTGCTATAAGAAGTTGATGATCGCGTTGTACAGCCACTTTGCTTTCTTGCATTTCCTTTTCTTTGGGATGTTTTTTGTTGCTGCCTCCTGTACACTGTTACGAGCCTCCATCCCTAGTTCTTCAGGCACTCTGTCCACCAAATCTAGTTCCTTAAATCTGTTCTTCACTTCCACTGTGTATTCATAAGGGATTTGGTTTACATTACACCTAATTAGTCCAGGGGTTTTTCCTAATTTCTTCAGTTTAAGCTTGAGTTTTGCTATAAGAAGTTGATGATCAGAGCCACAATCAGCTCCAGCTCTTGTTTTTGCTGACTTTATAGAGCTTCTCCATCTTTGGCTAACTGCTTGGTTGGCAGGAGCTGGGACAAGCGATGGGAGCTCACTCCATCACATGGATTTCATCGTACAACTGCAGGTCTTCTGACCTTGCAGCACACAAGCTTCTGTTGTTTAACCTGCAGCTCCACCACTTCACTGCAGAGAACATAATCAATCTGATTTT